CTGGGGCAGCTAAATCAGTTGGCATGATATGCTGCGCCTATTTTCTGTGCATGCCATGACACAAAGTAGTTTGGAAAGTGCTTCTAGATGGAAGCAATTTCAAGGTGTTTTTTGTTACTTGCTGTTTTTTAAAAGAAATGGTTGAGATTTCTCAAAAGCACAATGAATTGAATCAGTAAGGCTAAACTTGAATCAGTTTAAAACACTATATGGGCATTCATTGTGTTATCAGGTCACTAACAAAATGGCATTAATAAAGTATATGTAATAGCATTATAAATGTTTATAATGTGATGGATGTTAATTGGAAAAAAGCAGAATATAAAGTCATAAATGCACTATAATTATAAAATACAGATAGTAATAGCAGTTGTTCTTGATTAGTTTAGACTGTGATTTAAAAAAAATCTATCTTACTATATTATTCCTATTAAAGTAAAAAATATATTTTAATAAAAATAGACATGATTGTATATAATACACTGGTTGTTGTTTACTTTTCCTCTCTGTATGACCATAATCTAGGAATATAACTGTGGTATATGTAAATCACCTTATTATAATACAACCTTACATGAACGATTTATATGATTAAATATTATATTAACAAGCTGAGTTGACAAATATATATATATATATATATATATATATATATATCAGTATGTATGTTTCATATTCAGAGAAAGAACTCACTTACTTACAACTGCTGAGTACAGTATTTAGCAATTAAGACATCAATGATAGAAAAACTTGAATCCCTCTTCTGGGTATCTACCTCCAAAATTTGAAAACACTTATTCACAAAGATATATGTAACCCTACATTCACTGTAGCATTTTTTAAAACAGGCAAGACAGAGAAACAAACTAAATGTTCTTCAGCCAATGACTGAATAAAGAAGATGTGGTGCATATGTACAATGGTATACTACTCAACCATTTCCGACAATATGAATGGATCTTGAGAGTATCATGTTAAATAAGTCAGATGGAAAGGGACAAGAACCATATGATTTCACTCATATGTGAGATACAAAACAGAAAGCCACAGACGAATGAATAAATAAAACAACCACAGTCATAGACACAGACAACGGCATGTGGTTACTACAGGGAAATGAAGTGAGGAAAGGAGGAGAAGGGTAAAAGAGATCAATTATGTGATGACACAAGAAGACCAGACTTTGGATGATGTGCACACAATGTAATATACAGATGATGTGTTATGGAATTGTATACCTGAAACTTATGTAATATTATTAACTAATGTTATCTAAGTAAATTTAATAAAAATGCAGGGTCTGGCAAAAGTAATGCCTGCTTGAGTGTGGTTGGTAGGGTAATATAATATGGGTGTAATAATTTACAGTTTTAATTTTAACATTTCACCTAAAATGTCATAAGGTGTGCTTGAGTATGACATTGTTATGTTACAGAATTGCATGCTTATGATTTTGTAATAAAAGGGGCATTATTCCTGCCAGACCCTGTATTTTATTTCAGAAATAGTCTCTGTTCATATATCAGCAATACTTGTAGTGAAGTAAAACATTTACTTTTTCTATTTGATATTTCTGGATGTTTACATTTTTCCAAAACAAAGTGTAAATATAGAGATAGGACTCACCACCCAAACAGCCACACCCCACGGTAATTATCACGAATGAGAACTGAACAGTGAACATAATCATTGAGTTACACATCACTCTCTCCACTAACTTACAAACTCCTTCATGTTAGAAAATAGATTTCCATTTGGTATGCACATTGTAAAGCACAATGCCTGGCTCATTGTAAGTACATTTCTAAATGTTTATTAAGCAAATGAGTCCACATTGCCAAAAGAAAATAATGCATATCTTTCATCACATATGCTACTTGCTGTTCTAAATAATGGTTAATGATCCTTAGCTTTGATCTGATGTTGTCTCATCTAAAGTCTTTGTGATTATGACTTCATATTTAGAAAGAGAAGCCCTTAGCAGATAATTAGAAGCACTTCTGAGAAGTTTAAACATGCCATAAAGGTAAAGTTTCTGTCCAGAATAATTTTCTTTGTAAGAAGGACATCTCGTGAAATAGGCTGTGGGCACATATGCTGCAGCAGGGAGTTTTGAGAACCATTTCCCTTAAATACTTCTCTCAAGACAATCTTCCTGGACCAGCCACTCAGTTTGAATGCTTGATATGTTTTTCTAAAAGGGATGACTTGTATGTTTTGTGGAAGCATTCGGCCACTGAAGCCCAATAGCACTAAACAGTGTTAATTGTTTCTCACAATTGAACTTCTGAATGTCTCAACTAAATGGATCGTTATAGTCAGATCTATTTTTTGCTGTTTTTACCAAAATAGGTATAGTTAATGAGACAACACCAACAAGCATTTTACATGAATAAATAAAATGATCATTTTAGTTGGATTTTAAGAAATATTAATATTACCTTTAATGAATTTTACAAAAATCAAGGTGGTCTTTAAAATAAAGCTTCCACAGTGGGTCCAAAATACTACCTTACTTGTGAATGGTACAAATTTTGTGATCTATATAAAAATACAGAGATATTAACAGAATTCTAAAGGCATTTTGGAGCAATTACAGCCTAGTCTTAATCCCTGCAATGTTGGTAAACCTTACAAATTCCTGAAATACAAAGGGAAGGTACAATACTTTCAAAGGGAAAAAATCTAATACAGAGAGACAAAAATGTTAACCCAAATAGATATTTAAACTAGTTAGTTCAACTAAAAAGCTTTCCCTGGGGAATAATTCACTATTTACCTTCTCTGAGTGACAGGATATTTAATTAAAAAGATGCTGTCAACTTCAGAAATATTCAGATATGAATTATAGAAAGCTATAAAATGCTACTACTGTTAAAGTAATAATAATACCTCCCTTGATATGTATGTATGTTTGTTTTTATTTGTATTTACTTGTTTGGCTATTTTGAGGAATAAAGGTTATATTATCAATCTCTCTAGCATTGAACCAATGGTTTTAGATTTTTTTCATCAAGCTATTCCTATTTTCTAAGTAATTATCAATACTAAGGAGTGTGGGTTAAGCACTCATTTGGATTTAGCATTAATTAAACAGAATAATTCAAGTGGATCTTTTTATATTCAAGTATAAATATATAATGGCTAATTTATAATTCTGTCAAATTTCTAGTCAAATATTTTGAAATATTTATAGGTAGTAATTTCGTTGTCATTCTTTAGTCATAATTAAACTTTCTTTTAACTAAATGATAATGTATTTTAATAAAAATATTTATGTATATTTTCCAGGCTGGGTTTAATTTCATGACATGCTATCAAAATGAGAGTAGTTTGCCTATATAAGGTTAAAGAATTCTTGCACATATAAAATAATTTTTGCATTATAGATATGTACTAATTTTATCTGTAAGTCAAACCATATATTAAATGCATTAGTAAATTTCTAAATGTTTATTAAATGAGTGAGCATTAGGTTAGATTTCTAGTAATTACTTCTACCAACAATATTATCCACCTTTATATCCTTTTATAATTTACAAAGTATTTTTACAAATTGCCATCAAGTAAATCACAAAAATCCCATTTTAAAGGTAAGGTAACGAGATTGAGAGAGAGGGGTGTTGAGTGCTGACCAGGATCACTTGGTCAGTAATGCGAGAGCCAGGAGAAGAGCCCAAGGCTTCCAGCCCTTGGTCAGTGTCATATTGTTTATAGTGATTGATTCTCTGCCAATTTGAAGAACTGTCACCATATCTATTTTCTAAATGTCTGAATTTGAATTTCAGTGAGTTTGTTTTCACACTGTTTTTAGTTGAAATGTGAAAGAGAACCCATAAGTGCCCAGAATTCATGAGATGTATATATAGTTTTCTTTGCAAAATCAAGAGTAAACTGAGAAGGATATAACTAATTCATAATCACTTACTATCACTGATCAATTTTAAGTTTGTGAGTAGGCTCAACATTGAGTAGAGGGAATTGAAGTTATGTAAAAACATTAATCAATGAATTTGTCTAAAGTTTAACAGGGAAACAGAAGTAGATAAATGGACACTTTAAGTTAAAAGACCTTTAAGTATTTTTAGTACTAGAAAAAATTTTCATCTTCACAGATTATCAAGAAAAAAAAGTATATGTTATTTCTTTTGCTTTTAGGATACTACAAAACCAACCAATCAAATTCTGCCCCTGAACTATCTATTTACAGAGAGATTTTCTTTATTTAATCCTTCAGGCTTCCTGTATGATATCAAATACTATATTATTTTTACTTAAATTACTGTACTGGAGGAAAGATGAGAGAATTATATAGATTACAATTTTTAGTAAGTAACCTAAAATTTTTTCAGAAAAGGCCCAATCTTAAATAACTTTAAATCTCTGTATGAAAAAATAAAGCTGTGTTTTAAGTCAAATTATTCTAGTAGAGAAACTTGTGTTTTATTACACTAAATTAGTAGTTAATGGAATATGCACTATCTTATGCATTCCGAAAACAGTGCTAAGTTCAATGTAAAGCAACAATGTAGTCATGCAGGAAAATATTTTTGTCTTATTATTTTTCATACAATTTCACAAACAACTATTGAATACAACCACCATTCATTCAGAAAGTATTTTCAGTGAGAGAAATAATGTATTTACATTTAATTTTTTAATATTGGATTTTAAACTATGTAATTTGCCATGCATACTGTACACTTTTTTGCCCAAATTTTTGAGGGAAAAATAAGGATGCACATTATACATGGATATAATGATTACATACCATGGGTATAATAATACCATGTATAATATACACCAAAATGTGGGAGCGCATTATACATGACAGAATATGGCAATTACCTTGAATCCTTTGCTTCTTTTTCCTCTTAAGTAATTAGTTTCTTCTAATCAGAACAATGGACTTTGTAAAGTCTAACCAAATATTCGATCTTATTTCTGTTCAAAATCATTTGTTAAATCAAAATGAAGGCCAGAGGAAAAAAGTCACTTACTTTGCTTTAGCTTCTGCATCCTCATATGCTTTATTAGAAACATCATCCAATCCTCCAATTAAATGCTTGAAAGATCTGTTAAAGGAAAAACACAGTGAACAAGATAAATCCTCTATGAAGCTGTAACAAGGATAACCTAGTCAATGATATACTGAAACAATCTAAAAGGATCTAAATAAAAATGAGTTCAAACACTTAATCTTGATACATTATTAAGACACACAACAGGTAATGATATAAACTCTATGAGAGCAGACACTCTTCAGTCAAGTTCACTTCCATAGCTTCCACCACTGAGACCCGTACCTAGTGAAAGTAGATACTCAAAGAATTGAGTGAAATAAAGTCTGTGGCCCACTAACTGATAGAGATCCCAAAGCCAATTATAATAGTGAAATATCAAGACCTACTAATTTTTGAATGACTACTGTATTCTAGGTACTATTCTTTTAATACTCATGAACATATATTAATTCCAATTCTCAAAGTATAAAAGATAAGCATCATTAACTCCACTTAACAAAACAGTAAAATAATCTTCATATGCAAAATAAAGGAGATAGGAAACCAACTAACAGAAAGGAATTAGAGAAAAGTCAACTCATTCTGTAGCAGTGAAGAAACTGACTTTAGCATTAACAAGGAAGAGTAATGTATCTGCTTCAACTCAATCTGTTCAATACTTAATTATATACCTAGAACTGTGTCCAGACCCACTTTATATAGTGAAGTCTCAACTCATGTGTCTATAACATATTATAGATTCAGGACAAAATAAATGTACATACACACAGTAATCACTCTCAAAAATTATTGAACGCAACTACATACAGCAACTCTAACACATACTACATTCTGGCAACCACTGACCTAAATGAATGAAGAAACAAAAGGAAAGTCTGTGTTCAAAATTCCAAGTGTTTACATAAATCAGAGCCCTCCCCTACATGGTTCTTACACACCTGGTATTGTTCTATGTGTTAGAATGTACTGGGAAAAAGAGGACCTAAGCCACTGCCAATGCTGGACCTGACCACGAGATTCCTTATTATCAAAAGCAACTGAGACATAGCCACAGCATACTGCTGGAAACCAGTTGAACCCTCACTGCCCCTCCCCTCTCCCTCTAGCTTTACCCAGAGGCAAGGCCCATAAATCTCCGAATCAGCCATCTGTGATCAGAGGACACTGTCTTGCAAACACCTACACCCAGGATACCTTGGGGAGGTCATCAGGGGTCTCCCCAGGGGTCTGTTACACATCCTTAAAAACGCTTTTACCCCCTTCCTTTGCTGCTGTAGTCTGCTGGACTCAGCCCACCTGGTCGGGGTCTAACCCTGAATAAAAGCCCTTAATTGGACCTTTCTGGTTCTCAGTCCTTTCTTAGTCACCTTGGCTACCTAACACTATGCACTTTACATGTAGTAACGCATACTTCAATAGTTACAGTGATCCTATGATTTAGTATTATTATCTCCATTTTATATGATAATACTAAGGACTGAGAGGTTAAGAAACTGACCTAATGTCAGCCAAAAGACTGATAGAGAAGGAGGGGTCACTCTCCTTCATACTCTTAAACCTACACTGCAGCCCCTATCTAACCTCTGTCTTGAAGATAACTATCAAATCTCCAACAATATTTGAGGTAAGTGTGGAGACTTTTAAAGTGCTGAAAGAAACTGCATTTTAATTTAAACATCTTTTATCTTAATGCAAACAAATGGCCTTGTGTGTTGGATTAAACAACAAAATATGATACTCAGATCCTGAAACATTATCTTTGCTGATTTAAATTTAGATGTTGCTTAATTTTACATGTTTATGTAAAAGTGTTCACGTAAACTTAAAAAACAAAAACAAAAAAGAGGAACATGACATTCAGCTTAGGGCTGACTTGGGGTGGGTGAGTAGCTGTTATTGCAGGACCTTAAGTAGTGATCTCATCTGGGGGACAGGGTAACCGATGCTGGCTAAATACACTAATTATCTCTAATACAAAAATAAAATGACTAGACAGAAGCCCAAGGGACTGAAAATCCTATTTTAGAGTGTAAAGCCTTCTGTCATGCATTGCATTAATGAATGCCAAATGAATGAAAGCCGAATGAATGAGCAATAGGCAGCGGTTCTTATAAATATTTTAAAAATATATACAATTAATGATAAAATAAACTGTAAAAATAATCCCCATGATTGAAAAATTTTAAATATTATTTTGTGATTGTTCTTTATATGGTAAATTTTCTCACCTTCCCATAGAATGTCTTGGTCATTATTTAGAGAAAGTCACTCTTAGAGAAATTTCCCAAGGCTAGATGGCTTGTATTCTAAAGTAAAACACAATATTTCTCTTATAGTAAAAACGATAATACCCTGTTGCTTTCCATTTTTTAATAGATAGTTTAGAATTTAAGCACAGAGGGTTAATGTTACTTGTCCAAGATGACTGTAATTTAGCAGCATATTAAGAATTATAATTCATTTTCCCTAATAGTCACTGCTCTCCTTTACAATACTTAGATATTTTCAACACAACCAAACTCAAAATATTGTGAAAAGGCACGGACAGAGAGAAACCAAAGAGAAACAACCACTAAAACTTAGCTTTTCAAATATATTCAGATATATTGAGAGAATGGGTTCTTAGATGTTTAAAACTCAGTCATTTTGAGAGTTCAAATATTTCTAAAAATGTCCTGTCTTTCTCCTAGTATCTATTTAAGCTAAAGTCATCTTAAGCAGAATAGTATATGATCAAAAAGAATTAGAGAGTGAACTGGTGACAAATTTGATAAGGATAAAGAATTTTTAACTTAAAAAAAAAACTATTCATCTCACTAGGTTTAGTAAAAACCACACAGATCACTCTTAAAAAAAATACAGTTTGAGATTTCCCTTAGCAAGTACACAAATGGAAAAGCCTACATTTGGCAAAGCTATACAGAGTTTCAAAAGTAGAAACAAATTAATGACAGCAAAGAGGTTAAAAGTAAGTTGAGTCTAACTGGGGGAAAAAACAGATCTACTAATGATCTGTTTATATTCATTTTTATTGAATCTTACATCAAATTAGAAGTATCACATTTAAAAAGAATGAACAAAAGAAGTATTTGAAGTATTAATATTTCAAATGTCTTTTTAAGTGTCCTCAATTTACAATATAAATTTTCTATGTGGTGCTAATGATCCAATATTTATTATTATTTTGTGCTACTATGTAAAAAAGAAAGGAAATGACTTGTACTTACCAAAGGCCCCCATCTTGATATAATAGAAAATTATTTTTGAAATAAAATAGGTTCCCTCTAATCGAGGAAAGGCTTTTCTTCATTTTTAAAAAAATTGAATTTATTGGGGTGACACTGATTCTCAAAACCATACAGGATTCAACTGTACAACTCAATAAAACGTCCTCTGCACTGGGCATCAAGCACCTACCACCCCAAGCAAAGTCTCTCTCTGTCCCCATTCCCCGCCTCCTTGCTCATCCCCACCTACTTTCCATCTTTTTTCCCCCTGGCTATCACCTCACTGTTGACTATGTCTATGTGTTATGTATACATGTTTTTTGGGCTGATCCCTTCACTTTCTTTCATCTAATCTCCCAACTGCCCCCACCCCAACAGCTGTCAGTCTGCTCCATGTATCTATGCTTCTGTTCCTATTTTGTCTGTCAGTTTATTCTGTTCATTAGACTCCACATATAAGTGAAATCATATGGTGTTTGTCTTTCTCTGACTGGCTTATTTTACTTAGCCTAATAATCTCCAGGTCTGTCCATGCTGTCACAAAAGGTAAGATTTCCTTCTTTTTGTGGTTGCATAATATTGCACTGTGTAAATGTACCCCAGGTTTTTATTTGCTCATCTAATGATGGGCACTTGGACCGTACCCAGATCTTGGTTATTATGTAAGTAATATAAATAATGCTTCATTGAACATAGGGGTCCATATATTCTTTTGAATTGATGTTTTGGGTGTCTTAGAATATGTTTCCAGAAGTGGCATGGCTGGGTCAAAAGGCAGTTTGATTTTTAATCTTTTGAGGAAACTCCATATTTTTTCCACAGTGGCTGCACCAATCTGCATACCCACCAACAGTGCATGAGGGTTCCCTTTTCCCCACATCCTTGCCAACATTTGCTGTTCATTGATTTATTGATGGTAGCCATTCTGGAAGGTATGTGGTTATATCTCATTGTGTCTTTAATTTGCATTTCTCTGATGGTCCATCTGTGTGTCCTCTTTGGAGAAATATTTATGTTGGTCCTTTGTCCATTTTTTAATTGGATTGTCTTCCTGGTATTGAGTTGTGTAAGTTCTTTATATATTTTGGAAACGAACCCCTTGTCAGTGGTAACATTGGTGGATAAGTTCTCCCATTCAGTGGGCTCCCTTTTCATTTCGTTGATGGCTTTTGTTTTTGTTTTTTTCTGTGCAGAAGCTTTTTAGTTTGATGTAGTCCCACTTGTTTATTTTTTCCTTTGTTTCCCTTGCTCAAGGAGGTATATTGGCAAAAATACTGCTACAAAAGATGTCTGAGATTTTATTGCCTATATTTTCTTCTAAGATTTTTATGGTTTTACAACTTACATTTAAGGCTTTTATCCATTTTGAATTGTAAGTTGGCGGCCTAGTTTCATGGGTTTTTTGCATGTACCTGTCTAATTTTCCCAACACCATTTATTAAAGAGACTGTCTTTACTGCATTTTATGCTCCTGCACCCTTTGTTAAATATTAATTGGCCATAAGGTATTGGTTTATTTCTGGCCTCTGTGTTCTGTTCCATTGATCTATATAACTGTTCTTATGCCAGTATCAGTCTGTTTTAATTATAATGGACTTGAAGTATAGTTTGATATCAGTTATCAGGAAAAATGAACCAAGTTTGTTCTTTTTTTCCTCAAGATGCTAATGGTAATTGGGTTGTTTTTGTTTTGTTCCATATACATTTTTGAAATATTTGTTCTAGATCTATGTAATATGCCATTGGTATTTTATTTTATTTTTAAGATTTTATTTATTTATTTTTAGAGATAGGGGAAAGAAGGGAGAAAGACAGGGAGAGAAA